ACCCACAAATCAGAAGAAACTACTATTAAGTGGGCTTCTGTATGACTAGTTCCAACTTCCAATTATCCGAAGATCCTGATTATTTCCAGTTATGTTTTGCATGTCTTCAGACGGAAGTATACTTGAAGCCATTATAAACTCTCACATATTGGAAATGAAAAGATTATTTGCATAATCTATAAGGTGCATATTCTTCTACTTCATCACCCCAGAGTCAACAAAACCGCAACAAGTTACTGCGGCTTGTAGTTGGACCCTGGTCATTTAGTTAACTCATATCTCTAATCAATTTGCAGTCGAAAGCAAAGGTAGAGGCAGTTTCTTAAATTTTCTGTTACCAGGGAAATGAAACATGTGAGAGTCAACCTTGACCAACAAGCTAAATAATTGGGCAATGAACGGGGAAGAAAAATTAAAAAGACTATGTATTTAGTTACCTCTTCGTCATGTCTTCTTGAAGAAATATTTGCTTTGTCTTCAGCAACCGTGTTTTTATCTAAGGATTTTTTCTTCCAGGGCCACGATTTGTGATCCATTGTCTTTCAGAATATCTTCAGGTGCAGTCTTATTTATCCAAAATGTTGCAGTTATTCAGTTCGTCTTAACTACATCGATACAATAAAACATCTGCATAAAAAATATTCTTTTTAACATAATAATTCGACAAACATAACTCACACAGTGAAATCCCAGACTCATAGGAGAAACCGAAACAAGGAGATGCAATAGAAAGTGCATCCTGGAGTCAACTTCACAAATCTGATAATGAAATCATTGGCACTCAACGCATTGATGTGAAAATAATCTCATGTTAGTGTATTAGATCCATTTCTACAGTATTTTCCAGAGTCACTGCACAACTCTATACTCTCCTATATAAATACCACTTATATATATAAATGAATATAATCTCGTATGATATATTTCACAAATTTCATTACGTCGTTGCCCAAGGATCAATTTAAAAAATATCGGAACACACACATGTTCATTTTTTCCCCTCTTCTATAACATTATAAGTCAAAATGCAGTAAAACAACATTCCAAACAGAAACCACAAAAATAGAGAACAGCAATTAATGATCCGTAAAAGAGAAGGAAAAAAAAGAAGGAAAGCGAGCTCATTATAAGGAAACAAGCTTACCTTCTGACATCAGATAGCAGAACACTAACTCCGACCAGCTCGTGAATCTGTCCGAAGACAACAATGCAAATGAAAAATTTCAACTATTAACTAATACTTAACAAACAATAGTATAAAACTAGTAAAACATCATTTTCAAAGCATACTTCACTTACATTGTCGGTCCTACCTACCACCATTTGCATAGCATTGAGTATATGAAAAAGCGAAATGCCAATAAACGACAAAGCACTAAAAACAGAGTTAAAAAGGAAGAAGAGAATAGGAAGCGGAAGTGGTGTCGGTATCTGGATCTGAAGAAAGTGAGCTGTGAATGTTATACGGGTCGGGTCGGGCAATGAAGGGGACAGAGGAGATAAAGTTTCGCGGGTTGCTTTGGTTAGACGGAGCGTAAGAGAGAAAGAAGGTCAGTGTCAACTGTCAACCACTCACACACGGTTCTTATGTGAGTTGAGTTGAGAGAAGTGTCACTGTCTATTGTCCCTACTGCTGACTTGTTTATGGGACAAAACTTGTTCTACTCTCACTTTTACTATATTTTGCTACACTTGACGTTGTTGTATTGTGACTATTGTCGCAAGTTTCAACTAAATTGGTGACTTTTTAAATGGTTCACTTAAGTATTCTTGGCAATTTTAGGGGTCGTTTGGTATGACGTCTAAGTAGATATAGTGTTGGTATAAAAATTTAATACCACCTTCATACTTCGTTTGGTTAGCAAACCTGGTATAAGTTATCACGAGATTAAAATTAGTACGGGGATAACTTATACCTTATAGGGGTGGGGTAATTAGCGCAGGTATAACTTATACTTTGTAGGGGTGGGATAATTAGTGCCAGGATAATTTATACATTTTTTTAAAAAATTATGCAATTGTCACTTTTAATACAACATATCAAACTGTAAATAAAAAACAATACTCGAATAACTAATCTCAGCATAACTAATTACCCCATAACTTAATCCAGCATAAGCCTAACCAAACGACCCCTTATAGTACTATGTTGTTTTGTTTCTTCAACTAGCATTAGTGCAGGCAGTATGGCAATGTCCGGCCCCCACATACCCGTTTATGTTAAGTGCTTATAATTATGAAGCTTTTGTTGAAACAATTCTTTCGTTGGTTAATAATGTTAACTAAGAATAGTGACCGTTCTTTAATCTTACGAAAGCCAGAAACGAGGTTTAATCTTAACAAAAATATTTATTTGATTAATTATGTTGTATAAGCTCTTAAATAATTTAAAATTGAATTAAAAGAAGTGTGGTATTCTATCCGTCTAAGTTTACTTGTCCACTATTGACTTGGCACACTCCTTAAGAAACAATAAATAACAAAATAATTTTAGTATATCACTCATAATTTGTTACATCTCGTACTTTAATATTAGGATGAGTCGTAGTAATCCATATAAGCTTGAAGGGATTAAAACCATTCATGATGTTATAGATGATTTGTGACTATGTTATTATAATACCCCATAAGTTTAACAACCTTAATACCGTTATATATATTTGATATGGTATTTTGAGTGGAACACTTTTGTAAAAAAGTTTGAAAAACATAATTTTATATAGTTATTAATATTACTACTTTCGAATATGCTTTAAATTATACACATAATATGAGAAAGTTTATGAGATTTTCTTTATTGTAAAGATAGAAATTATTTTTTCACAAGAAAAGAAGGTTATCTTTTTACCATTTTAAGAATTAAGCGTATGAAATTTGCACTCTTTATATGAGATTAAGAAAATTAGAAGTTGAGAAAATGTATGTATTTTTACATGGATGTTTTAATGAAATAATAGTGTATGTATTGATTTTATATGGTACCACATGACCATGATAGTAAGATGTATAAAGTTGTGATGACCCGGTAGGTCATCTTATGATTTAAAATCAAATTCTGTATTTTTGGAAAGCTTTTGTGTTGAAAGTTGATAAAAATAAGGATTTTTGCTTTAAAACTTCATTTGAGTTGATTTCGGTCAATATTTTTGGTAAATGAACTCGGATTCGTATTTTGACAGTCCTAGTGGATCCGTATCGAAATATGGGACCTGGGCGTATGTCTAGAATAAGATTCGGAGGTCCCTAGCTCGAGTTATGAATTTTTTTATGAAAATTGAAAGTCTAGAAATTTAATGGTTTTTAAGAAATTATTAATGTTTGATTTTGTTGGTATCAGGTCCGTATTTTGGTTCCGGAGCCCGGAACAGATTAATTATAATATTTAAGACTTGTACGTGGAATTTGGTGAGAAATAGAGTTGGTTTGACGTGATTCAGACGTCCGGTTGTGAAATAGGAATTTCAAAGTGTTCTTGAGAATTTCATTTGATTTGGTGCTAAATGTGTGGTTTTGAGTGTTATTTTGGTGATTTGATCACACGAGCAAGTTTGTATGATGTTTTAAGACTTGTGTACATATTTGGTTTTGAGCCCCGAGGGCTCGAGTGAGTTTCGGATAGGCTACAGAGTGTTTTGAACTTATGAATCATAGTTGGTGTGCTCTAGGTCTGCAGACTTCGCATTTGCGACGTCTAGCTTGCAAATGCGAGCCTCGCATTTGTGAAGAAATTATCGCATTTGCGAGTAGTGGGCGGGGAGGGGTAGCTTCGCAATTGTAAAGCATTGATCGCATTTGCGATCCTCGCAGTTCGCATTTGCGGACCATGGGTCGCATTTGTGACGTTAGCATGCTCAGGTTATTCTTCGCATTTGCGAAGAGAAGTTTGCATTTGGGGGGTTCGCAAGATCGCAAATGCGATACCTGCAACTTATCAAAATGACTTTTGGATGGGATTTTTGATTCATTCTTCAAATTTTCAGATCCTAGAACCCTAGAGGCGACCCTTCCAAGTCCAACTCTTCCTCAAAACTTTGATAACTGATCCTAACCTACTTTCTTTCAATTTCCCATCACATTTCATGAATTTTCAACCTAAAATCTAAGATTTTCATGGTAGAATTTGGGATTTTTGGGTAGAGAGTAGGGATTGGAAAATTGGGGATTTAGACCTCGAATTGAGGTCGGATTCCAAAACCAATTATATATCCGGGCTCGAGGGTAAATGGGTAAATATATTTTGGTCCGAACCTCGGGTTTTGATCAAGCGGGGCCGAGATTGGTTTTTGACTTTTTGGAGGAAAAGTTTGGGAATTTTAAATTTATGCATTGTAGTTGATTCCTTTAGCGATAATTGATGTTATTGAGTTAATTGTGGCTAGATATGAATGGTTTGGAGGTGGATACTAGAGGAAAATCAGTAATTGAGCATTGAGTGGCCCGTGGAGCGAGGTAAGTGTCGTGTCTAACTTTGACTCGAGGGATTAGGGACACTTGACTTATTTGCTACATGAAATCCATGTGAGCGGCATATATGCGAGGTGACGAGTACTTATACGCCGTCGAATTATCTGTTTTCCCTAATTTACTACTTTACCTTAACTGTTTCCCTCCCTGTCTTAATTGTTATATGCTCTAAATGCTTTTCATGCTTAGCTACTATGTGTTAATCAATATTTTCTTTTGTTAACCATGTTTGCTCTCTTCATAGTTCCCCCAATCCCTGATATTTGCTTAATTTGACTCATTTGTACCTTCTAACTGTAAATTGCTGGTTTGGTCTCGTTGTGTAGTATTATTTGTGTATATTCTATGTTGAACAAGGTTTCCCCTTCTTGGTTCAGTTTGGTATTTAGTTATCATAAAGGCCTTGTGATTTAGATTGTTGATTTGTCTGTGCACATTGAGTGTTTGGAACTGATATGGTGGGATCAGGCTGCACACCGCAGCAGATATAATAAGGGAGGATTGATATGGTGGAATAAGGGTGAATATATATATTCGGTGGGATCGGGTTGCACGCAGCAACAGGTGGAATAAGGGTAGATTGATATGGTGAAATAAGGGTGAATTATGATATTGATACTGATATATGGTAGGATCGGATTGCGCGCCGCAACAAATATATATTATTTATTGATATTATTATTGATACAGTGGAATAAGGGAGGATTATGTATTGTCTGGTGGGATCGGGTTGCGCGCCTCAATAATATACATATTTTAATTTCCTGAGCTGCGTTGTTTTTCATATATACTTTTGTTTGAATATTAGTAACTCTGGGTGGCACTGGTTTATTTTTGAGGTTGTAGTTCTCATTCTCTGTTGACTGTTTAAATTTTGTTCGGTATATCCATTATTTCTATCATTATTATATATTGCGTACAAGTTATAGTGTAGGTGACCCGCCTTAGCCTCGTCACTACTTCGTCGAGGTTAGGCTCGGCACTTACCAGTACATGGGGTCAGTTGAACTGATACTGCACTCTGCACACTGTGCAGATTTTGGGGACGGTTCCAGCGGCGGTTATTAGCGAGCTCGGATCGTACTATTGCACAAACTTGAGGTACGACTGTTCAGTGCCCACAGCTCCTGGAGTCCCCATCCTCTTTTCTTTTAGCTGTACAACTTTATTCAGACAACTTTGTACTTATTTCAAACCTTTATGTGTATTATTTTAGAAGCTCGTGCACTTGTGACACCAGGTTCAGGGAATTGTAATAGACGTTTGGCAGTTTTATCTTCCGTATTGACATTTCAGTTATTCTAGTTATCTTTCGTTGTTTAATTCAAATGTTAAAAATGAATAAATTGTTCTAACGTTGGCTTGCGTAGCAAGTGAAATATTAGGCGTCATCACGGTCCCGACGGTGGAAATCTGGGTCGTGACAAAAGTGTGTTAAAAGTAAGTAGTATTTTAAGTAATTTGAGATAATTCTTAATTATGTAGGTAATTGGTTAATTATTGATTAGTGGGAGATTAACAAGTCAATTAATAAATTGGTGGATAATTACTTAAGATCTTTGGATAAGCCCCTCAAACATCAACGTGAAAGCTTTTGCCTTAGGAAATTATGACTCTTACATTCACGTAAAATGTGGCATTTAGAAGGTTAAGTCACCTTAAAAAGTGGGGCTTACATCCAAAGATTAAAAACCCCTTTCTAATTCACTTTGTACGTCTACAATATAATGAAAAGGTTTAGCAATTCATATAAGACTTCTTAAATTCAAAGATAGATATCATATGGTTTTGAATGGCAACGTGATTTGCTTAACAAAATCCATACAAGATCATGTAATAGCAGCGTGAAAGGTAGTTCTACGAGAACACGGTATAATCTTTCTCAAGAATATCATACGAATTTTCCCCTAATTTGATCCGTCGTTACGTATCTTATCATAAAAGACGTGTGTTAGAGGCATTGTCAAGAGAATTAGCTCAGGTATGTTAAGACTATCCCTTCTTTATTTTGGCATGATCCAAGTAACGATGCGTAAATGTAATGTTACTCCATAAGTGGTTCTACTCTTAGCAGTTAAGGAGGTCTATGTTATTCATTCATGTAAAGTCATATCCAACTATGTCTAAGTATGTTCCTAAGTCTCTATTGA